GGGTGGGGAGAGAGAAACAGCGATTTGTTGTTCCACTTATTTATGCATTCATTGGTTGATTCTTGTATGTGTCCTGACCGGGGATTGAACCTGCAATCTTGGCGTATCAGGACAATGCTCTAATCAATGGAGCTACCCAGGCAGGACCCTCTCTCCTTACTCTTTGTTGTTGTTAATCCTCACCCAAGGATATTTTTCCATTGATTTTTTGAGAGTGGAAGGGAGGGTGAGAGACAGAAACATCAATGTGAGAGAGACACATCCATTGGTTGCCTTCTGCACATCCCTGACCAGGGCCAGGGATCAAGCCTGCAACCCTGACTACCCTTGACTGGAATCGAACCTGGGACCCTTTAGTCCGCAGGTTGATGCTCTATCCACGAAACCAAACTGGCTAGGGCTCTCCTTATTCTTAAGGGTCCTAGAAGGAAGAGGAAGTTAGGACACAATAACCAAGCTAACCTTCATTATAATTAATACCATCACTAACCACGTCTCATTGTACCAGTCCCTGCTGAGCACCTAATATCTATTGTTTCATTTAGCCTTTTCTACTACCCAAAATAATTGTAAGGCACCATTGACCCCCATTTCTGAGCTAAGGCAACTAAAGCTAGGAGAGGTTAAATATATGCCCAAGGACAGTCAGCTAGTTAAGTGACAGAGTCCAAATTCAGGTCTAGTTTGCTATAGCTCTACACAGCAGATAGTAGTGGTTCACAAACGGCAGTGCATCCGTCACCTAGGAAGCTGCTTTAAAAAAAAAAAAAAAGCCTGGCTGGTGTTGCTCAGGGGTTGAGCACCAACCTATGAACCAGGAGGTCACAGTTCGATTCCCGGTCAGGGCATATGCCCGAGTTGCAGGTTTGAGCCCCAGTGTGGGGCGTGCAGGCGGCCAATCAATGATTCTCTCTCACCATTGATATTTCTCTCTTTCCCTCTCCCTTCTTCTCTGAAATCAAGTACAAATAAATTTTTTTTAAAAGGAGGAAAAAAAAAAAGATTCCCTAACCCCACTCACTAAGATTCTGCTTCAATAAGTCTGAGACTTTTTAAAAACAAGTTTACCAGGTATTCTTCCATGGGAGCAGGGCCTGACATTCCTCCGGCCAAGAGATCAGATGACAGGCAGGAAGGAGTATCAGTGAGGGGTCCAGAGGAAACAAGAATCATAACCACATTGAGTCCTGAAGAGTTCTCTGGCCTAGAGTCTAGTTTGTCCTGCTGGGCTTAGTGTCTTCTAGTCCCAAGATGCTTCCAAATTCCTCAGCACCAAAGTTTTATGCTTCAGGAAAATTTCAAAAGTTCTGTGACCGAGAACAGTCTTGGCTCCATGGAACCCTCAGAGGAAATAATGCTTCTGGCAACAGTGAGGGAGAAAACAGCCTTTTCTCCTAGCCTACCAGTATGTTACCCCAGGATTACGATACTAAGGGGACCAGGGGAATGAAATTGTTTGAGAGGAGCTATGCAACACAGAAGACACAAGACAGTCATGATTGATTGTAGGAATCGCCTACACTCCAGAATGCTTTATTAAGACCTTATTTTATTGCTTATGCAGTCTGACATTGAGCTATACACGTTTCCCTGTGCTGGTCCCAGGTCACTCTGTGCAGAGCTTCTGTGGCTGTTGGGAGGTGGGACACTGCTAGGCAGGGGCAGGACCTAGAACAATAACTCCTAGGAGCTGTAGAGGGGGCATTGGGCTTCAAGAGGGTCTTTGGGTGAGTAGAGAGATCAGGAGTATAAGCCAGAGCCCAGGGGAAACATTTCCTGAGATGAGCCAAGCCCCAGCCCCTCTGGGGTTTCCAGAACAAAGGCTGGGTGTGGAGACCAGCTCTGTGGAGGGAGCAGGGATGCACTGTCTCCAGGCGACCCCGGAGCTGCAGGAGCTCAGCAGAATGGCCAAGGTGATGGGTGTGGAATCTGTGGCAATTGGGCTTTCCTGTAGGACGGGGGCAACTGCATTCATGGAGGATAAGACAGGGAACCTGTTCCATCAGAGACGGGGTCATTTCTCAGGTGTAGGTATGATGCTCCCTTAGTTCCCTAGTCTGGAAGAACGTGGGGTCGGGGGGCAGGGGAGGATGATGTTTAAGAGTTTCCAGTTTCCTTAACCAAACCCACTCTACAAGTCTCTCAGGGGTACACCTTCATCCACCCATCTGGTTGCTCTCACTCCCCCAGCTTTTCTCACAAGGCACTTGTTACAGGGCTGCTGAGGGAAAGGGAGCTAGGAGGTGGCTCTGATGGTAATGCCCAACCTCCAGGGTCAGGAGTCAAGGTGGTCAGGGGCTAGCGGCTGCCATAGTACAGGTGCACTGCCAGGCCAATGAGCAGAGTGGCCAGGAAGAAGGCGGCTGGGAGCTGCAGCCGCAGCAGAGCTGCTGAGAGCACGGCGTTGACCACCAGCGAGCAGGACACCACAAAGAGGCGTGTGATGCTGCTGCCGTGCTTCATGACAGCCGACATGAGCAGTCCATTCAGTGCCTGGCTGAGCACCACGAGCGCTGCCCATCCTGAGAAGCCCTCCAGGAGGCCTGGGCCGGGGCCGCCACCTGCATGCAGACCTAGATTCAGGAGCACACCGAACGTGTAAAGGAAGAGGTTCTGAAGTGCCAGGGGCAGCCGCTGTCGCTTCATGAGCAGCTCTGTGTACACAGAGGACAAGCCTGAGATGAGGCAGTACAGGATGAGGAGCAGCAGTCCTAGTGGAGTGATATGCAGGGGCATGGGGCCAGCCTTAGCTGCTGGAGGGGACCCAGAGAGGGTGCTCCCAGGGTCCTGGAGGCCACCAGCTGCATAGCAGGCCCCCGCTGCCATCAGCAGCAGCAGTGCTAAGCCCTGGCGTGCAGAGAGGCGGCGCCGGAGGCAGAGGCAGTAGAACAGGGCTGTGCTTCCAATCTTGAGATTGCTCAGCACCTGGTAGGTGCTGGGGTCCATGTATCGTTGAAGATAGATCACCAGGTTATTGTTAGCGCCGTAGAGCAAGGCTGGTAGTGCAAAGGGGGCAGCCTGGCGCCAGGGCGGGGCCCCCCGGGGCCATGCTTGCCGGCCTACCAGAAGGGAGAAGGCGCACAACAGTAGCTTGGTCAGCTCAGTCAGCAGCACAGCTGAGGAGGGTCGGAAGGGCACTCGGCCATCCACATGGCACAGTGCCAACAATGGTGCATGGGCACCATACATGGCAGTGGACAGGAGTAGCATCAAAATCCAGCGGGCCTGCCTGGGACGGCCCAGGCCTGGCACTCCCCCGTCCTCTACACTCATGCCCACATCAGACCCTGGGTGGCCTGTGTAACTAACAAGGGGCAGTGAGGATGTGACACGTTTGAGGAGAATCAAGATATGGAGTTGGCTCCCAGGAGGCAGGAGCTGCGGTACGTCAGCTGCAAACTCCACACTCAGGGTGGGAAAGGTCTGGTGGCCTTAGAAGCCACAGTCTTGGGATCAGTCCCATTGGGTCAGGGAGGGAAGGAGGTATGGAGGACACTGGCTGATGAGCCACTACCCACCCTCTGCAGGAAGGGAAACAAGGATGAAGGAGGCAGGAAACTTGGAGACAGTAATGGGGTGACAGCCAGGGAAGCCAGATATGGTGTCTGTGGTCGAAAGGCCTCCACCTGCAGGCCCCAGCTTCTCATCCTGCCTCCCCCACAGGATCCAGAGCTAGTCGGGCCCTTTCCGCAGCGACCGCAGATAGTCCCTTATTGTCTTCTCCACATTGGGCACAGCATATGCCTGAGCTGCATAAATGCCAGTGCAGGTGCCCACAGCAAAGCCCAATACCGCTGATGCCCTCAGTTTGGCCACCACATAGCCAGCCAGGAAGCCTTTGAGGAATGGGGAGGACAAGAGCGAGCCATCCTGTGGAAAAAGATTCAGGAGGAAACTCAGTAGGTTCTCCCCTTCTCTAACCAGGAGCTCCTCGATCTGGGCTGAGAGCATCCCATCACCTGCTCCTTCTTACTCTGGAAAGTTGTAGTACGCTCTCCAAAGATTTTCTCAAGGTTCTGGAGGCAGAAAAATAACCTAGGAGTTCTGATCACATAATCTCAGAACCCTGGGGCTAGGAGGCTCCACACACAGAACCCTACTGCCACAAGGCCACAGAGGAACCTGGCCCTGCTTGCTTCTCATTTCCTAGCATGCTCACCCACTACTGCGGCCAAACTGAACGGCTTTCACCTCCATGCTCATCATGCTACTTCCCACCACAAGAACACTGCATATGTTGTTCCATCTGCCTGGAATGTTCTCTCCTCCCCCTTCACCTAGTTAACCCCTATTTAAGATCCTGGATCAAGTGCCATTTTCTCAGGGAAAATTTCCTTGAAGTCTCAGAGAACAGGCCCTCAATTAGCATTTGCTGAATAAATCTCTACCACCCATTCAAAAGCATATTGGGCAATGAAGCCTACAGGGGGTGGCGTCAGATGCAGTGTTACCTGGCCCACACCACTTCTGACTTCGTCTTCCACACGCTGCTGAAGGCGCTCTAGCTGGTTCTTGAGAAAGGCCAGGTCCTTAAGCTTGGGCAAAGAGTCCTACGGAAAGGGAGAGACTGGCTCCAGCAGACTGACCTAGCCCCATCCCCTGCTCCAGTCTATCAGAGGCTGGGGAGGAGGTGGGATGGGTTGAGCCTGTGAAACCTCTTTACATAAATACCTTCCTGAGATGACACTGGTAAAGGAAAAAAGGGCATTGAAAAGGATAGAATTCACACTGGGGCCAGGAAGGGGGTGACAGATGGATGTGCATCAGTAACTTACAGGAACTTCATAGAGTAAGCAGTGTGTAGGGAAAGCGGGAAGGGCAGCTAATTAGATCAATCAGGAAAATACTAATGACTTGACTATAAGCTATGTGGAAGTGGAGACCAATCTGTCTTGTCTACTGAGTCACAAGTCCTAATGCAGGGACCAGCAAGTACTCAGTAAATGTGTGAGTGGTGCTGAGCTTTCAGATCAAAGGTAAACAATGGCCCAAGGCAACTCCCTGGACAATTTGGAGGTAAATCTGGTTTCTGCCGGGGCTTCCCCTCCTCTCTCCCCCAAGGCCACCCCAAACTGAATGTGTGCCTCTGCATGCTCGCGGGAGGTGGCAGGGGCGGGGCACGGCTGTCTGGAGGAGTATGGGTCAATAAACTGGGAGATTCTGACGCATAAAGTATGAACTGCAGTGTGTGTGCCAGCGAGTGTTTGAATGAGGGTGTGTCAGTATGAATTGGAAACAAGGTGTCTCTGGGAGGGGACATTCCCAGGGCTAGGGAATGGAGCAGAGTCAGGAGAGTGTCAGAGCGGACGGGTTTGAATGTGAGAAACTAGGTACTGAGATGGACCCCGGAGGGGAACCCCGGCGGCTCCTCAGCTGCTCGCCTCCTGGATTGCTCCGCCCATCTACTCCACACTTCTGCCGCGGGCGTGAGCACAAGTCCACCCCCAGGGAAAGCAAGGGGCATCTCACCCATGCGTCGTCTTTCCCCAGGACTAAAAAGGTGTGGATACCACGCCGACTGCAGACCACCCCATGGTCACTCACCTTGTCATCCGCCATCTTTCCCCGTGGAGCTTGTTGCGCAGGCGCAGCCCCGCCTCCCCCTCCCTCATACCAAGTGCCCATCATTACTGAGGGCGGAGGCACTTCCGAGAGATTTTTTTGAAAGGTTGGAGGCGCTTTCTTTTTTTTTTTTTTAAATATATTTTATTGATTTTTTACAGAGAGGAAGGGAGAGAGATAGATAGTTAGAAACATCGATCAGCTGCCTCCTGCACATCTCCCACTGGGGATGTGTCCGCAACCCAGGTACATGCCCTTGACCGGAATCGAACCTGGGACCTTTCAGTCCGCAGGTCGACGCTCTATCCACTGAGCCAAACCGGTTTCGGCTGGAGGCGCTTTCTTAAAAAAAAATTTTTTTTAAATGTATATAGAAATATATTTTTATTTATTTCAGCGAGGAAGAGAGAGAAACATCAATGATGAGAGGGAATCATTGATTGGCTGCCTCCTACAGGCCCCACACTAGGGATGGAGCCTGCAACCCCGGCATGTGCTCCGACCAGGAATCCGAGGGTAACCTCCTGTTTCCTAGGTCCACGCTCAACCCTGAGCCAGGCCAGCTGGGCCAGAGGCGCTTTCTTGGCAGCCGAGCTCAGGCGCTCTTCTGCCCACAGGTACTCCCACGTGACTCCTGCCCACAGGTACTCCCACGTGACTCCTCCTCTCGGGTCTCAGCTGCGCGTGCGCGCGCACGACCTGGGCGTGCTGCTGTCACAGGTGCGCGTGAGAGCCCCGCGCACTTTCGCCTGGTGGGTCACCCGCCGCTTGCTGAGCTCACAGTTGCGTGGTGGTGTCGGCTG